GTGAAAATGACATGAATATGACAGTGGGCAAATGGATAAAGCGCAGCATAATTTGAAATCACGAGTTTACATTTTGTCGATCGCACATCTCCAGTGAGGCTGAACTCTCCTCCTGTCCGCATTCAATTCGCACGGACCGACCGTCACACAGAGCACACGAGATCATGCAGGATACAAATGCACACTTCACAAGATCTCAACTAGATTCGACTAAGTTTGCAAGGTTTGTGAAATTAAATGTTCATTAATAGACATTCAAAGATTTGTTCAAATGGTTTAAATGCGTATTTGCTGATTGCTGACGGCAAACGAGACAGTATTATAATGTTTGCTTTTCTATTACTAATAATATAAAAGCAATCGTTATAATACTTTTTTGTATACATTTTAATACCTTTGTTAGACAGACTTCTTCAATCCGTATTAGGGATGCAGCGATTAACCGGTTTCGCGATTAACCACGCTTTAAAACGTCACTGTTAATTAATCGTAAAGGTTCCGCTAAACCGAGTGTTTCTGTTACATGGAACGGAACTGTTGCAGCTTGCGCAAAACGAAAAAGTTACACTAGCGGTGCACCAGCTTAAAATTATGTGCTTATCAGAGGCACGGAGGCTCCTACATGCATTAGATTATCTGTGACAGAGGGACCAAACAGCGAAGCTTTATTTCCACCAGAGAAATGCTTGTCAATAGTGTGGTACCATTTTGGGTACACCAATGTCTTCACATGTGGTTGCCGCAAGCCCTCCGGATGCTCCTTCGTCGAATCCGCCGCCTCTGCTCACTCTAGCCCCCGGCCTCTGCTCACTCTAGGCCACCGTGTGTGACGCTGTGTTTCGTTGTGAAAGCGAAACTACTTTGTTTGGCCTTCCAAAAATGGACGATATCTGCTGGCCGGGACACGGCATCACAGTATGGTAGGGGCGTAACATTTCCGTCACACGCTTGAGGAATTTGGCCAATCACAACGCACTGGATAGCTGGCTAATCAGAGCACACCTCGCTTTTCAGACCGATTAGTTTTGTAAAAATCGACGCGTTTCAGAAAGGCGGGGCATAGAAGAGAAACAATAATGTACAGTATGTGGAAAATAATGTGTTTTTTGAACTTTAAACCGCATAAACACATTTCATTACACCAAATACACAAAATAATGTTCTTTTTAGCAGCATCATATGACCCCTTCAAGAAACCCCTCCTGGAAGTTTGCTGAGGCCCCTTAGTGGCCCCTGGTTGAGAACAACTGCCCTAGATGACATCTGGCGTCGTATCAGCCCTTATTAGAACCTTGTTACGTTTATAACAGCAGCAACAGAAATTTGATTAAAAAATGCATTTATTATCTTTATATATTACACAAAATGATTCAATTTAATATGAGAATATACAGTTTTTCTACCAGGTTATATTACAGTAGTTAGTGTGGACTGTATATGGATACCAAGACATCACTTACATTT